ATATATATATATATATTTCTAAGGATAACAGCAGCATGCTTTATATGTTATTTCCAACTTTATTATTTATTATGAACAAAACCATATCTATAATTGAATTTCCAAAATTAACTTTTTCATTTTACTGCCTTTAAGGCCCTGAGCACTGAAATATTTAAAAGTTCCTTTAAGCACCAGCTACCATGATAATTTAGTGTGAGACTAATCACAAGATGAATCAATTTTACGTTAAAAACAAATTAATCATATCAGCATTTGCCCTTTGGCAATGCATTTGATGCCCCTGCGAGGTCTGGATAATGTCAAGCCACATCAATTTTGAGGCTTTACAAAAAATAAATAAATAAATAAATACAAAAATACAAGTTACCTCATTTGGTCAGAAACTTTAACGAGTTGCAGTTCAATAAAGAGGCTCAGTGGAATCCTTTGCTAGTAAATCATCCTCATATTTGACAACTCACAAGAAGTGCCATTCAAGCAATAATGTCAAGTATAGTGGCTAAATTAAATCAATAGATGCTACGCAATTATATTCAATAGTGAAAGAATAATCTCAATTAAAGATAGAACTAAAAGGTAAGGATGACATAACTGACACAAGTTATATCTTGACACCAGTGTTTTAGAGCCTTATTTAACTCACAAAGCCTTTACATATATCACATAATGGCTTTAGTTAAAGACATTGAAAACACAGAAGCTATTTAAAAGTCTGGAACCACAGGCACTGAACAGGCAAGTTGCTGTAATTTACTGTAATTATCCAGTCAACTTAAAGACACCCAAGATATCCAAGATCAGTAATCTTTAATTTGTCAAGCTCAGTTGCCTTTGAGGTTTTCCATAGTGTTTAGTTTAAGTTTTTTTTTTTTGGTAAAGTTTAGTTAAACTTGATACATGCACTTGATAGAAAACACTTCACTTCTATCAGGTGCATGTAATGTCTGTCAGAAACCCACATTTATATATCGTTATCTTTGACAATTCCTTGTGAAATATGGCATTAATGAATAATAAAAAAGGAAAATTCATACGGTTAAAATTTCACCTTGGTTACTGTTACTCTCTCAAATAAGCTTTAAAGCACATCCCATAGAAATCAAACAGATTTGCATGAACAGTACAGTTTTAAAAGTGGTGAAAATGTTATCAATATTGTGACAATGCAGTTTTTCTTTAAAGGGGTCCTATTATGCTCTTTTACAATGTCTTGAATTTGTTTTGGGGGTGTACTAGAACATGCTCTCATGCTTGGTGGTTCGAAAAACGCATTATTTTTTACATAATTTACATTATTACAATACCTTTCTCCCCATCCTGGCAGAAACGGCTCGATTAGTTCCGGGTTTGATGAACGCCCGCCTTCCGAAAAACGAAATGTGATGTGAGAATTTATTTATACCATAGTCCAGTGTTTCCCAGGCGGCATATCTCATTCTCTGCCAGCAGGAGGTGCTGTTGGAGTGGTAGAGATCAAGGTTTCCCCGGTAACTGCTGTACACAAAGCAGCGCTCCGCTCAAAAAAACACTGTTTTATCAGACATTACATGCAAGATTAAATTAAAATGACATCCAATTTTTTGAAGACAGTCGGTTTCCTTCAGAAATACAGTGATATAAAAACACCCGCACTCAATGTATGGGAAACACTGTAGTCTCATAATTGAAGTGTAAATTCTGCAGATTACATCATTGTCCAGTATTGTACTGTCAGCAATTTATTATAAAAACGTTTTCATAATTGTAACATACATATTTACATACATAATTACTCCGGTGCATGTGTAATAACTTGCGAAAACTTGAGGCTACAGCAGCACATCTTCTTCGTCGTCGTCTTGTCTGATGCACTCAACCAAGCGTTCTAACCACGACCTCGCCCCTCCCCACTCCCCAACCATTAGAATTTCCATGTGCCGCTTTGTGACATCACAAAACCCGGAAAACAATGCTGTAGTCCAAACGAGCCGTTCGTTGTAGTTCTTGAAAAGGTATTTTTTTTAAACAAAATATCTCCCTTTGGAGTGGACTTTGAGATTTGTAAGTTTGAAGATCTTTTTTATGCCCAAACATACACACTACACACTGACTAAAATTCAAAAAGTGAAAAAGCATAATAGGACCCCTTTAAAGACATTGTCAAACTGCACAGTGAAAACGATTCCTAACGTTTATACAACATACTGTGGTAGCTACAGAATTAACTCTTTGACCCTATTTTGACCTTTATATATATATATATATATATGTATATATATATATATATACACACCTTGGAACAAATGCAGGTGTTGTTACTGATGTTATGCTTGTTCAATTAGGAATGAAGGCTAACAGATCCACAGCATGCACGTCTTAAGATTTTTTTAAAGATCTGGAAAAATTATAAACTTCTATAAAATTTTGTTTAAAACTTTCACCCTGGACATTCAAAGACTTACATTAAAAAAATATAAAAAGCATGTATGTTAAAATGGTGGATGGCAACAGTTGCTAAGTCATGTGACATTTTTTAAGACAGAGCTTTTTGAGGGATCCATTATCATACATTAATCTGACGGCTGGAAGGCTGCTCAAGGATTGGTCCAAACTGTTTTAAAATAAGCCCTAATGTTTATTTTATTTGCCTTTGAAATTTTTAGGCAGACTATCAACTAATGCATCTCAGTATGTCATAGTGTTCAGCTATTCTTCTTTGAAACAAGCTTGAAACAAGATTGAAAATGTCATCTCCTACCTGACATCCACGGCGTCCTCCATGACAGTCATATCTGTCTTGCACTTAGCAGAGGGGTTGATGGCCAGCTCAGCTGGAGGAATGACAAAGCTTTTGCTAAGTGGCAGCCACATGCCTTCTCCAAGAGTGTATGTGAATCTGAAACACAAAAAGCCAAAGTGAATATTTCAGAAACCTCTCACCATGTAACCAAAAAAAAACATAATTTCAGGCTGCTGCATTGTGAGACAAGCTACATTGTGAGACAAGAAAACTGGCATTTGGATGACAGTAGTTTTACAATTAAAAAAAAAGAAAATCCATGAGGGTTAAATTGAAATTCTGGGAAGGAATCTAAAAATAGTGATGTCCAGGGTAACAACGAATGACACATTTTCACATTTAAAAAAAGAGACATGTTAGTGTTCATATTCGCTGAATGATTTCTGACAAGAAAAAAAAATCCATACATCCTCATGAGAGACTCCCACATGTATGTAGAGACTTTTATGCATTTGGTTTATTGTATCCACCTCTGCACAGTTGAGCAAGGATTTAACAAATAATGTATTTTCTTACTGATCCATCTAAAGGTTCAAACTGATTGTTGAAAGGAAAAAAAAATAGCTTCCTAACTTCTGCTCTTCTCCCCTGCAAAATCAAATATAACTGCATTTTCAGTTTGACCCTCACTCTGGCACAGTAGCACATTTTAAAACTTTAGTCATTACCGGAATGCTTATCTGACCTTGAAAACTCCCCCCACCCCCCTGTTTTTAGTGCTGAGAGACGTCCAGGCAGATAAGATCAACTTGTGGGTGGATATCCATAGAGGACTACAAAAACAAAGCAAATGATCATTGTAAAATAATGCCCAGAACAGAAAGTCCAAAGAGTTTGTAGGAGTAATTGAAAACTGGCATATCTACAAGCTAGCTCTGTTTTACTGCACTTCATTTCAATTTGAAGTCCTGAGGTTTCGACTTAGTGTCATAACACTCAATCAATAAACGCAGTTCTGTCCAGCACTGACTTGCATGCAGTGGAAAAAGTCTCTAAGACATGAGTATGAACATGATTTATTTTTCTGTGAAGAATAGCCAGGATGCACTTGAATGATTCATTGATTCAATCACTCACTGATTCATTCATTCATTCACTTTTCCCCCAGTAATTCAACTATCATTTTTTTTCCACCCATGCATCTCAAGAAGGCAGCATGTATATGAGCTAAACAATCACCTCAGTAATTCTATTTGCATAAGATGCATTATGCAAACAAAAATACTGTCTGATTACATTATTGGAAGCACTTTTAGTTTTCCAGCATGCAAAGATGTGATTTAAACCTACACTGTGAAAATAAAATGCCATTTTATCATTAGTCACACATAGCCAACTAAGAACAGTGAATTGTGATGACTCTACATAAAAACACTTGTTAGACTGACAATATTCATCCAAATGTTGTCCAAACTAGGCTGAGGCAAACTGTTTTATAATTAACAATGTCGCTGATTTGTTAAGGGTTTATGAGGACCCAGTGCGTATTGTGGCATGAATAAATTATGCAGTTACTGTTATAGGAATATTGTTTTAATATTTGCTGACTTTATTTATGCTGCTGTTGTTGTTTATGTACATGTAACAACATTCGTAGTTCGGGAAGAAGGAGGCGGGAACCGGCGAACATTCAAACAAAACTTTAATAATAAAATAAACACAAAATAGCGCGACAGCCCCTCGTGGACGACTGTCGCGCACAAACAGAACCAAAACACAAAATAAAGTCCAGGCCTGGTCCTCTCTCGTCCAACACTGTCGTCACTCCTCCTTTTATCCTTTCCGGAGCTCCTCCGTGGGACTCGAGACCGGTGAGTGGCGTAGGTGTCGCGCATTAGCATTTACTCCACCGGCCTCGCTCCATTCCCACGGCTCTCGGCCCCGCCCCTCTCGTCAGAGTACACCATCATTCAAAAGTTTGGGATCAATACGATTTTTTTATGTTTTTGAAATAAGTCTGTTATGCTCACCAAGGCTGCATTTATTTAAAAAAATATAACCCTCAACTATAACCTTCAGATTACCCTCCTCTTGTGTACTATAAATGGAACTCTCCATCTGCTGCTGTTTAATACAGTGCAATAAATTGCTTTTCTTGATTACAGTTAAGTCTATTAAACTTGCATCTTTTCCTGTGTGTTTGAATAAATAAGCCACAACCAACAACCTAATTTATTTATTTTCCTAAAGCTGTTTCAAATGCAGGTTCTTCAATTAGAGTTGTGCTCTCACTGTGTGTACAAGGCTGTACCAGCATCTGAGAACTCAGGATAAAAGCAGTTGATGGAATCATCAGTTGCCTCAGTGAGACAGGTGATATCCACATTCCTCTATAACTGTTATTATTATAGAAGCTGGACAAAGCAAAACATAAACAATCAATTAATCAGCTGGCTTATTTACCTCACATTTAAAACCTCACGGAGAGCAATGCACCAACATTAAGATTCTTAGTTGAAAATGAATTAAAAATTATAAATGAGACTTTTTGGAAAAATAACTAATTTCATCATTATACTATTATACTATGCTCATCTCTAAATTAGAGTGACTTTTCAATAACATCTAGTCTAAAAAAAAAATGGTTTCAATAAAATAACAATATAGCCTATATTATGCATATCAAAATAAATTTACTGTTTTTCAGGAAAGATGGCACATTTTCATATGAAGAGGAACTTCTCGGCATTTTCACGTAAGAGACCATTCCTATTAACACATCTGTTACATGAGATGTGTTAAATACCCCATGTACTAGTGGATAGGAAAGACAAGCAACTGTGAACAATTTTATTAATGCACCGATAACAAGAGCACTGTCACTTCTAAGAAAAATGCGAAGGCAAATATGTGTTTAATGCATACATTTTGCACTTCTAGAAAATGCAAATGCAATTGCGTTTGAATTCTGACCACAATATGCTGCAATACACAGCAAGCTTGTTTTCCAGTTGCGCTCATCAGTCTGGATTTCTCCACATGAATCTCATCACACCTAGGTAGTGTGTGTGCCTCATCAGCTGTAACCACAAGCTCATTTATGTCAATATATCATCCATCATCAGCTACCGTTTACATTAAATCCAATTAAACCTGGATCATTTCATGTGCACACAGTGTTTTTCCCTTGTCAAATATGCTGTTAATAGTAAACTGATCTGTTAAAGTAATAGTTTCTTGTCAAATTTTGGAGGCAGAAATTTCAGTGCAATCCATACTCATAGATGTTTCATAAAAAGATATTTTTGAACACCACAAATTTGCTGAAAACTCACCCAAGCATTTTGTAATATGCAGATTCAAGAAAAAGGGGACGCAACGTGAAGCTTGACACATCTGAATATTGTCGCCTGCTAGTGTGAAACGGCTTCAACTGAGTTTTGTAGGAAATGTTTGTAAATGGATTATCGAACAAAACGCTGAGGCAGGGATAAAACTCCCTCCTCGCAGATGGAATTTAAAAGGGAAAAACACATAAATCAAAAAAGTGAGGGTACCTTTTAAAATATCTCAGCACACTGACTCAATAACAAACAAAGTCGGAACCTCAGAACAGGACGGAAAGAAATAACCATAAAAGCAGTTCTGTTACAAGCAGCAATATTCAACATATTGATGTGGGTACCAAAGTTTGCACTGGATGTTTACAGACACAGTAACGCATGATTTAAGTGTAAAAGGTCCTTATTTTCCTATTTTTGAATGGTTTGCAGATTGGAAAGTAAATCCGATTAGAGAGTGTTACAAAAAAATCTCCAAATTAAAAAACACTGACGGTTACTTGCACCATAACATCTCTCCAACATCTCTCCGTCTCTCACTCTTGTACTTTATAGCTCCACTTTTAAAAGTTTCACAAATATCAGTCACATTATTTCTGAGATATATAAATGAATAAGTGAAGCATTCAAAATTGATTATGGGCTTTCCTATTCATTCATGGCACAAATCAATGATGTATGAGGAAAAGCTCTGTGAAATTGAAAATAAATCTTTCATTCAAGTCGTCTCAAACATTCATGTCTGTGCAGGTTTGTTTGGAAATAAAACATTTAATTGTCCCAATGAAATGTATTTGTTTGGTGGCCCAAAGCCAAGGGATATGAGATTTTACACCTTTTGGGGTTATAACACAGATTCCAATTACAAGATGCCCTCCCGTGTTGTTTTCAAATGAGAAAGAAATCTGGGCCCATATTTACAAAACATCTTAAGGCTAAAAGTAGCTCATAACTCGCCGATTTAGGAGAAAATCTTAAAAATAATAGGCGTGTCAGTGCTAAATTTAGGACTCCTAAATTTTTGTTCTAAGAGTATTTCACAAAGCGTTTTAGCACTAAAACTAGCTCCTAAATCTGTGAAAAGTTAGGAGTAGTGAAGAGGACTCCTAAGTCACTAAGACCAAGCCACAAACTATCCTAAAATGGCTGTTGCCGGCAGTCTGCCTCGGAACATAAACATTTTAGAAACATTTGATGATAATAACCTTTTAAAAAGGTATCGCCTTTGGTTTTGGAGGTTATCCCAACTCCAAATTTTCGTTTGATTAGATCCTTGTTTTAATTAACCAGTTGGGCAAGGAGTAACAGCTGTTCTTGCGTCCAGTTTTTTTTGTTTTTTTTATATATATTTGCATGTATTACTATCAGCCATGATTATTCTACTCTGTTAATTAAAAGGCTGTTTATATGCATATTCACTAATTATGAGAAGCATACGTGTAAGAGGCTGACAATAAGCTGAACATATACTTGTTTAATTAGTGACACTTATCCTGCATTTTTAACCTTTATTTGAATACAGCAACATAATATTGTGCTCTTCAATATTTCCATGAATAAATCTCTGACAGAGAATATCAGTCAATCACTGTGTGCATAGTTAGTAAGCATGCCGACATCATCCATACTGTAGCAACGTGGTCAACCCCGCCCTTACTCTTACTGTAGCTTAAGACTTCTCTCTATTCCTGACAATCAGCCAATCACTGTGTGCATAGTTAGTAAGCATGCCGACATCATCCATACTGTAGCAACGTGGTCAACCCCGCCCTTACTCTTACTGTAGCTTAAGACTTCTCTCTATTCCTTAGTAAAAGTTTGTCTCAGCAGCTTTGTGAATAGGTTTTAAGAGAAAACTCTTAGCTAAAAACTTTTACTGCTATTTAGGAGAACTCTTAGTTGTAAGATAAAATGTTTTGTGAATACGGGCACAGGTTCACAAGATTTGTAAATAAATAGCTTGTGATTTGTGCAAAGGAATTAGGGTTGAACAATCAAAGGACTTCAGAATGTCATGGATGAGATCTATGAATAATTCAGAACATGAAGATTATGCATGGCAACTGAAGGTAACCATATGTTGCTAGAATTGGATTAGCATTTCTAAATATTCCAAAACATACACCTCACAGATTGAAACATCTCCAGTGCCTAAAGCAATGCACTGTTTAGTCTTGAGTCTCCAGTTATAGCCAGAGGTAAACATCGTCTAAATCCCCACCTTTGTGCATGGATGATTTTTTTTTTATTCACGATGAACCGCATTCAGTGGCCCTGTATTAAAAGTAATTACAGCATTTTTCTATTTTCAAGTTTTTTTGAACTGTGAATAGAGCTCTTTGAAGCTGAATAAAGAGATGCCAGCTTAGCCAAAATGACAAAATAAGTGTACTCTATTTCACAAGCTACTCCGTCTCAACAGAAACCTATTACATACTTGTCAGCACCCTTTTTTCAAAGCTTATTTTCTGCAGTCATATAAAATATAATGTTCTATTTAATTATTTATTTATTTATTTTTAGAATTATTTTGAAAAAAACTAGTCTCCTTTTATGTTTGCATTGTTCATTGCACTACTTCATTGACATGTTCCTAATATTTTCAGTATTTTTAGTCCTCAATTTGAACTGGGTCATAAGCTTTATTATAGTACAAATAAAGCATACCTGTAAACATTTGTGTACCAAAATATGGGAGATGGGGTGGGGGGATGGAGTGCTTGGGGCAGGGCAAAAGTATTAATTATTATATTATATTAATTTATTATATTAATTTAAACAAATATTATCAAACTATCAAACATTTAAACTATGTGTATATCAAACTGTGTGTTTTCTGCGTAAAAATAAGGGTCGTTTTTGGCTTTGGACTAAAACAAAAAGCAGAAGGGCTTATTGAAAAATGCTAATTCATTCTCTCTTCATTCTTTCGCTTTACTCCAGGAATATAGCTATTTCCCCGGTAACCGCAGTAAACAAAGCAGCGCAGCACCTGATTTTGCAACTTGCAGCGCTCATATTTCATCGATTAAACCATAGCCTTTTGAAGTGTAAGCTATATCTCAATTTGCATGTATATTTGTTTTTTTCACCGGAGCACCACCTGAGTCTTCTCCTCTTGTCCCATTTCAACCAGTGATCCTTTCCTTCCCGCGGTAGTCATCACTGTTGTAGGTTGCCAAGTTAAGGTGACAAATGGGCTGAAATGTGTATGTGTCAATTGTGTGAGAAGGATGCATTTCATACAAGATCTGGCAACTGGGCAGCCTTGGAATTTGTGAAAGTGAAAGTGACGTGACATGTGGCCAAGTATGGTGACCCATACTTGGAATTAGTGCTCTGCATTTAACCCATCCAAAGTGCACACACACACACCTTTGGGTTACAAGTCCGACTCTCTAACCATTAGGCCACGACTTCCCCCGTGTTGACGTGATAATGAGGTTTGGGCCATACAAATTACAGGAGTTTTACCGGAGGCGAATGTAGCAAACATATAAAATACGCCCAGTGGGATTTTTTTTATAGAAAGATTAAAAATACGGGAGAAATACGGGAAAATATTTAAACGGGATGTTAGCGGGATAGAATGGTAAAATACGGGAGAATCCCGGGGAAAACGGGAGGGTTGACAGGTATGATAAAGTGATAATTTTTCTTACCTAAAAATGCGATCAGATGGCTGCTCTCCCATCACCAAGTCAAAGCCACGCTGGAAAATTGTGTAGGGCCATGGGCTGAAAAACAGAAATGGCAGAAAATCAAAAACAAAACAAATAATTCACACTATAGACTCTTTATTCATTGTTAAACAGCTCCAGTCTTCACTAAAGCCACGTGACCTTTAAAATTGAATGACTTTGTGATGAAAACATAACCATCTTATAAAAGGGAGTTCCTTTGTGAACTCACATCAAACCAATTATGTTCCCAATATGAATATCACAGAAATTCCTCCAGCAGATGCTGTGACCCGACAGTAGCATCTCTGTCAGTCAGTGTCATACAGACGTGAGCGTGACTTCAAGTGTGTGTTTATCCAAAGCTCTATGTGAACTGATGGAGATTAATGCAGAGAGGCAGCTGTGGGGACAGAGGCTGTCGCTGCAGTATAAGAGAAAAGACAAGGAGCTGATGCCTCTCTAAATAAGCTGTTACTCACAGCAAAAGAGCAGTCACAGCCCGGTTAGACCACTTCATACCACAGATCGCCTACTGCTGTTTAAACATTAACATTTGTCATGCAGCATTCCCAATTCACAAGAGAACCAAAAGCAGGAGCATTCTGAGAATCCATTACACAGAAAGGTTCAAAATATTAAAATAATAAAATTAAATAAAATTATTTCAGTCAGTTAAGTCAGTTTCCTTACAACATCTACATTTTTTGTCAGTACCACACAGCAAGTCATGGGACCAGTTCTATAAAGATAGCCACTATATTAAGACTGTGAACCAGTTTGACCAACTAGCAGTTAACCAAGTGGTAATCAATCAGTCTTACTTTTCTGATTCAAATAGACCAATCTACCTCTAAGGGTAACTAAAATGTTATGACCGGTCTTGCAGGGAAAAAAAATAGATGACTAAGCATTTAAGACTAGTCGAAGCGGTTTATGCAACTGGTAAATAGTTTCAGACAACCTTGAATAAATGCATAAGTCATATTAACTAGATTTATGCAACATGTGATGTTTGACAGTATAATTCACTTTGACAAGGTAAACGATAAGTTATCATTTTTGGGGTGAACTATTCCATTAATATATAAAATAAAGAAAAAGTGGCTATATATGAACATTTGCAGGAAAGAGTTTAGGAAATATCTTGGCACTTTGAAACTTTAGAAAGCATTTGGCAATGGACTTTCTTTCTCCACCACTAAGTGTTAGAGTCAATTAAAAACGGTTCACACCTTCACAGCATGGCATAAAGGGAACAAGCACATCCAGCGCTATTCCACTCCCCTAAGGCAATCTTTCTGATTGTTCCAATTTGATTTCTAATTATCGGATCCCTCTCACCTACCGTCATCACTCCCATCTCCCTCCCAATTAAAATGCCAAGGATTTCCTCACCCAACTGCTCCAGAGCGACAGCCTCAAACCCAGATGAGCATGTGAAACTCTCCTCAGGGAGGGTCTAATTAACTTCAAACATCTTAAATACAAGTCTATCTGGGATTAGAAACTTGTGCCCCTAACATTTAAGTGTTTTGACTATATCTAGACTGCAAAGTAGCAAAACACCCTTTTATTTTGTGCCATTCTCTAGTAGTATTTGTGCTTCATCTGTCTGTTGACTTAAGAAGCAGCAGTTTGGTTAGGTGCACTCACACTTTTACCTCAGATTAAAGATACCATCTGTTCAGATGCAGTTAATCTTATATTCAATCCTCTGCAAAAATATCAGAGGGCAACAACAAAAGTTTTGAAACAAAGAATTTCAGCAGAATTTCAAAATAGTTATTTCTCTTTGATCATTTTAACAGCAGCGCTTGGATATGAGGCACGCAAGACACATAATTTCTTACGCATGTAACGCAATTTAAAATGCACAATACATGTATCTCATTGGTATACTGAAATGTAAATCACTGTCACGCAAATCTAAAATGACCCAGAGCTTTGCTGTGCTAATCCCTTTTCCAATTCCAGAGGAAGAGCATCATGCAAAAAAGCTAATTAATTCAAACAAGCCAATTTAATTTCCTACAGTGCATAACACCTGGCTGGCTATCGGCACTGGAGACATTTTTACTACAGATAAGAAGCATGGCCAACTTCAAGGTGGCAGATCCCTGTTTGTATGGTATGGTACTCACCCCTGATTTGGGCCCCATTCATTGCGAATACATAGATGCTTATGAACAGGGTCCTTCATGTAGCCATCGAAACAGAGACATTCTCCTGCAAGCAGACAAGGTACATTAAACCATCACTGATAATAAGAGAAAAACATTATTAGTATTATACAGCTGTGCTGAACAGTGGTTGTCATGTGTCCCTGCAGGACGTCAGTTAGGATGGTACCAGCTTTCTGCCAAAATTCTATTGTTACTACTGTAAAATCATCATAAATTACTAAGGGACTTTCTTTCAAACACTGTAAATAACTTTTCAAAAAAAAAAGAAGATGTGTCTAAATATGCTGTTTTTAATTAGTTTTTCTTATGCAAACGTGCTAGATAGGAGTCTTTTTTTCCAGCAACTAGCTGACTCCATGTCAGTTAAATAACTGAAGAAAGACTTGTCTTTAACTTTTAAAAAATGTGCCTAGAGACACTTCGGTTTTATTCCATTCTTTTGTGATCCATCTAGTTTTAATCCATGCATCCATCTAGTTTTTAAATGCAGAGAAACACCTTTTATGACGCTTTTAGAATATTTCTGATTTTTATTTTTTATGACAATTGTGGCTAATATTCTCTCTATAATAATTTAGTTTTATTTGATCAACAGTCACTGTAGCAGTCACTTTTATTTTTTCCTAAAAAAAACAACAATAAATAAATAAATAAATAAATAAATGCAGTTACCATTGTAATTTTTGGTGAAGGGATTTTATTGAAGCACATCCATAGAAAGTAAATAATAAAACTTATTTCCCATTTTGTTTAATTTTTAGAACATTCACAACCCCAGATATGTTTTATTAATAATTGATCATACTACATTATACTGTGTCCAGTACAATATATGTGTGTGTGTATGGTAGTGTGTAAGCAATGTCCCTTCTCTGGGTTTGTCTGTTCTTCTTTTTGTTCCAGTTAAATTTTTCTTCCAGTTCAGTTTGATATTTTCAGGTTACATTGCTTCAAATGTAATATTTATAATAGTAACAAGTATATCATCTTCTCTTTAGATCATTAGTCAACAAATTCTTAGTAAGCAAGTGGGATGATAGTCACAGATCCAGAGGTGCACCTTTCATTTAACTGAGCTGACTCACAGACCATTGCGTTTTAGGCTATTTCAAGGTCATTTAGATGCAGGAACTCATGTTTCCTGAACCACTGACTTGTTTACTTTTAGTCCATTTCCACCAGTTTAACCCATTCAGACTCATGTGTGAAGCAGCTGTGAACATGACATACCGATTTTACCCCACTATGGAGTCTCCTGTACTTTGCCGTCACCCACTCGCATTGTACCCCATCATACCCCGATCTGTAGTCTAATCGTCTCTCTGTCTCTCTTCAGGGTCAAGTGAAAATGACCTCATTGTCATGTTTACATTAATATGGCGATTCTCCAGACGTGCAGTGCTATAAATGGGTGCTGTTTTGTGTGTGTTGAAGCATATAAGCAGGCACAGCAGATTCCCTGTGTCAGCCCTCTTCAGTCGTGCCCATGGCTCAGACAAGTCTAATCACTCTGAGCTCAGCTGATCAGTCTTGTCAGGCCAAACCACAGGCATGTCGGTCATGATTTGGGTTCATGGACTGATGAGGTTGCACCCTGAGCAGGACATGTGTGAGCAGACTGATGCAAATACAGAGGGGGCACAGAGGAAAAAACAGCGCTGGCAAACATGGAAACAAATGTGCTATGAGTGGGAGGACAATATATGGAAAAGGCTAAGGAAAACATTTGCTGACATTGTGCACAGCAGCAGTCATCAATACACTTGGTCAGTGTCAGTGATTATGTTGACTTCTCACGTCATACACCCAGAGCTCTGCTAATGCAATATAAGTGACCTTAAATTCTGCATTATGCAGACTAATATTGGATTTGCAACACTGATGCTCTGACTAACAAGAGAAAAATTGATTCTTGGGCAACTGTATGGTGTAAAAGATGCAAATTGGAGAGAAAGCCAACTAATCTTTTTTTTTAAAGACATTAAAAGGAATTCTACAAAACTAAATACATCAATTATGAGATAAATATACAGTTGCTGTTGCTGTATTAGCAATCAACTTTTGTCTTATCAAACTTTTGTTAAATATATTAATCTAAAATACTTCCAAAAGTTTGGGTTCAGCAAGAATTTTACAGCAAAATTAATACTTTTATTCAGCAAGGATGCATCTAATTAATCAAAAGTAACTGTAAAGACATTTATAAAATTATATACAATTTTTTTTTCTATTTCAATAAATGCTGTTCTTTTGAAATTTCTATTCATCACAGAATCCTAAAAAGTATCAGCTTCCACAAAAATATTAAGCAGCACAACTGTTTTTTAAATGATAATATAAATAAGCATATTAGAACGATTATGATAGATAGATATATATATATATATTTAACAGGGGGGCAAACACTTCTTCACACAGGGCCATGTAGTTTTGGATTTTGTTTTCCCTTAATAATAAAAACCTTCATTTAAAAACTGCATGTTGTGTTTACATGTGTTATCTTTGACTAATATTTAAATTTGTTTGATGATCTGAAACATTAAAGTGTGACAAACATGCAAAAAAATAAGAAATCAGGAAGGGGGGCCAACACTTTTTCACACCACTGTATATATATATATATATATATATGATAAACTTCCAATTACTCTTCTAAAAATATATTTGTCTTTAATTAAAAAAATAAATAAAAATAAAAAAAGTGCAGTGCAGCTAGTCCCTTGTCGGTCATAAACACTCTATTTGATCTATTACTGATCATTAGCACATTTTGGCAGGCCAAGAATAAGGTCTAGCACTGCTATTATTTGCATAGTTAACTGTTTTAGCTTTGCCAAGGTAATTTGTAAAACTGAAATTAAACTTGTACCGTAGGTAATAATAGCATTTTTATCAATTCAAATGAGATGCAGGGAGCCTTTATGACTCTGGGTGGTAAATTACAATTTTGCCAGGAAACATGTACCCAGTGGCTTTGTGATTGACTGATTATTGAGGATATCCAGCAGGCGCTCAGCCAGTGGTGTATGCATAAGAAATACATACCTTGTTGATTTTTTTCTTCCCAGAATATATGCAGAAGCAGATTTTTTCCTATACTGTGAGTAAGGCATAGGAGGCCAAATCCTATACTCTACCATTTATAGCCTACTATTTATTAAGCATTTGATTTTTTGGGGCATTCTCTTGGGTATCGTTGCAAATGTTGCTAATTAAGAACCCAACAGGAAGTAAACAAAAAAAATCAAGCTTTTAAGCTGTTAAAATCAAAGCTGTATGTGGAAGTACTCCAATGTTCATTTATTTATTTCCTGGAGTGTGACATCTCTACATGACAGAAAGACATTTACAGCATTAATAAGCATAAAATAAGTCAAAACTTTACTTATTTATGTGTACACAGCATATGGGAGTCTAACTGTTGGAAACAACATGTCAAAATCACTTATTACCTTGAAATTGTACTGCAGTGCAAAATAAGTGTCCTGCAGTGTGACATGCTGTACTCCATCTGAACTGTTTTACAAATCTTTCTAATTGTATTATAATTAATTATAGTGCATTCCGGTTCCAAAACCTCAAATGATGAAATATATAATTTTTATCCTAAAAAAAAACAAAAACAAAACAAAACAAAACAACAACATATGTATGTCCATGTTCAACTACCCTTCTGCATTTCAGCATGTAAATACCAGAATTAATTACTTCAACAACTTTGACCAGTCAATTTAACATCAACCTATTATGAGAAAAAGGTGAACAAGGTGTAATATCAGAGAAATGCTTATAAAGCAAATGTATTAGCATTAATTTTTATATACCAGACGGGAACAACAATAAAACTAAATAGATCAAACTGTTTAAAAAATGTGTGCAATCTTTAGTGGCAAAATGCAGATAAAATGCATAAAAAAATTATGATGCAAACACAAAAACTTCCGCCTACTGTCTATGATTATTCATCAATACTGTAGTTGGCATGTACTGGCATTTAAAAAAAAAACATATAAAGGCAGCTATATGTTTTGATTGAGATATCTGGAAAATATTTATTTTGCATTAACTTGACATGCACTTTATTTGTTAAATTTGTATATTAAATTTATTTGTCCAGAAATACAAATCAATTTTTACAAATATAGCAAATGCTGTCCAAATAAATAAATACACGTTGTCCATGTTCAACTATTCTTCGACATTTCAGCATGTAAAAACCAAAACTAATTATTTGAACAACTTTGTCCAATCTATCGAATACTAATTGACCTTTTATGCAAAAAGGCAAGCGAGGTATAATATATTGGATTTTAGTGCCCTATACACAGTGTTGGGGAGTAACTAGTTACATGTAACGGAATTACGTAATTTAATTACAAAATAAATGTAAATGTAATCAGTTACAGTTACTGAGAAAAAGTGTGTAATTAAATTAGTTACTTATGAAAATGTTAACGATTACAAAGGGGGTTAAATCTGAATATTTTCACACACCCACATACCGATTTAATTGAATTATTTTATAAATTGCACTGAATGCTCTAAAATATGAGACATCAATGTTTCAGGAGTTTAGGAGACATGCGTATTCGATAACTATTTTATTTCCTATTTGGTTTATGTATTCGCTTTGTTTTTTAAGATTAAAGGGGTCTTATGACGTTGCTAAAAAGAACATTATGTTGTGTATCTGGTGTAATGCAATGTGTTTATGCGGTTTAAGGTTCAAAAAACACATTCTTTTTCACATACTGTACATTATTCTTTCTCTTCTATGCCCCGCCTTTCTGAAACGTGTCGTTCTGAAAAGCGAGGTGTACGCTGATTGGCCAGCTATCCAGTGCGTTGTGATTGGCTGAATACCTCAAGCGTGTGACGGAAATATTACGGCCCTTACCATACTGTGATGCCGTGTCCCAGCACGATGAGACAACACCAATAAAACCCATTACAAACGAGGCATATGACTTATACTGTCTTTTTAAGAGTCGCGTATCGCGCCGCGTAAACATAAAACCATGTCTGCATTTGTGATCGGAGAAACGACAAACAACAAGCGCTACTCTACACTACTCAAAACTCGCGTTTGAATCGTCAGTGGCAAAACAGTGTTTCCTGTCATAACTATGCAAAGATTTGATTTCAAAAACAGTATTACAGCTATTAAACTATTTCTTGTTGTGCTTTTAAATCTGTATTTAACCTCAGAATGGTCTCAAAGTAAAAAGAGGTGAGTGTGTGTGTGTAAAAAAATCGCTACTATTGGATTTAGACAGAGAAAGTGACTATGTAGAATTACATATTAATGAATTTTTTAAGTCCCAAGTAATTCCTCTCTTTCCGCAACCACAGAGAGTGTCTATAGGGGATCTATTATTCAGTCAAATTAATGAAACGAAAGTGCAAGGATCAGGTAGCCTGAGACACAACATCGTGTGTTCTTGTTTAATAAATGTCCCCTGAATCCTTATGGGAATGAGGGAGGTGAAAAGGGTCTCTGAGAGGCCTGTTATCAGTCCGATTCTCATCTCGGCTTTTACACATCCTCTGCGCCTCTGATTCACAATCTTTTTTAAAGTGCACACATTTTGTCGCTCCCCATCCCCGCTTTCATCAGTATCTCCCTCTCCTGTTTGATTGAGACAGTCTTACAGTTTTCCGTGAATATCCTCCGCCACATAGTCTACAACCCCCACCCCTCACACACCGACAGCACAATGCAATTATTGAACCATGGCAGTACCAAGGCCTCATCCTTTAGATTTCATTTGGAGAAAACCAAGGCAAGTTCCCAACGGTCCAACTTGATTCATTTAGGGTTGGAAGATTCACTTTTCAAAGCCCAGTGGAGCTCCTCTTTTGAATTATGGATGCAAACAGGAGGAACTTGTCAACAAATGATAACAACGTTGGACTAATTCCAGCTGCAGATGATCGGAAAAATAGCTAAAGCGAATGTATTACTATTCATTTTGATGTAACTGTGTGTCTGTTGGCTATGTTTTGCCTGACTGGAACAACTATAAAACTGAAAAGATCAATCTCAGCTTACAAAGTTGCAGTTTTTTTGTGGTAAAATGCAGATAGTGCATTAAAGGGGTCATATGATGCTTTTTTAAAGATCATTATTTTGTGTATTTGGTGTAACAGAATATGTTGACATGCTTTAATTGCAAACAGAAAAAAACGTCTGCCCACTGCCTGAGATTATTCATCAACACTCTTATAACTTTCATAGGTATGTAGTGTGTCCTGGCATTTAAAACAGAATAAAATAAAACAGAACAAAAAGCAATTGGAAATTGTTGTTGGTGTTAATTAAGCTAAGGACCTCCAAATATGATGACAAGGCCTTCCTATAATACAAAGGCCGCTATCTGTTTTAAAAAGTAAATAATTGGCTTTTATATTATAATTGTACTAAAACTAAAATACATGATTAAAACGTCTGGGAAATATTTAGTTTGAATTTATTTGATGCTGCATCTTATTTTTCTACCTAACAGTTTAATACTGCATGTATAAACATGAAAATAAAATTTTTAAATTTAATTCAAATTTATTTGTATTTGCATTTCATTCAAATTCATTTGTTTAGCCATTTTTTGCACTTTTTCTATACATGGTGATAGGAGGAAAACTGCCCACAAACTGTATTATAGTAAGTGAATGACCTTAGCTTTATATAGTGTAATGTAACAGCTAAAAACACTTGAAATTACATGAAAGTGAAGACAAAGTGAAACTGGACCATTTTGCATTCAGAAAGCACATTATAAGAAAACTGCTAAGATCTTAGATGGTCTCAGTTCATCTGGAGTGTTAACATACAACTCAACATTCCTGAATCTAATCAAGTATCATCTAGAATATTAATGCTTCCCTGGCTCAGAATATCCTGAAGTTAAGGCATTCCATTTGATCTGTGCTTTGCCTAATTTACGTCCCAGCCAAGGAAAAAAAACAAACAAAAAAAACATTCTAATCCAGGTCACTCATGCTGTATATGCCCAAGTCTTACATTTCAAATATTCATTGCCAAGCATTACTGTCCTCACAGCTCTCGCTCAATTAAGCTTTCATTACTTAATACTGTTCACTCAAGAGAGACACCTTCAGAGAAATCTGCAAATGAAACGATAGATGAATCAGTGCTAAGCCTCTCTCTCCAGTCCCTCCTGCTCTTTAAATGAAGCTGCGTTACAACTGCAGTTCGGTGAACACATTGATTTTACACAGTGGAGGGGATGGGCATTCATTCACTAGGGCGAAGGGGTGGAAAAAAAGATTATTTAATGATTAATTAGGCAAAGACGCAGACTAATGAAAGCAAGGCAAAAAATATAAAAATCCCCAATGTGCAGATTGAAGGGATAGTTCACTCAAAAATGAAACTCTCATGTCGTTTTAAACCAGTATGACTTTCTTTCTTCTGTGGAATACAAAAGAAGAATGTGAAGAATGTTTCAACTGCTTTGTTCATACAATAAAATCAGTGGGGTCCAAAACAACATTGGACTCCACTGGTTTTCATTGTGTGAACAAAAAAATACTACACTAAGTATTTACAAAATACACATTTTACAAAATATCTTCTCTTGTATTCCACAGAGGAAGAAAGTTTAGAAGACACAAAGGTGACTTTTGTGATGATTTTGTGATGACTTTTTTGATTTTCAGATGAACTATCCTAAGTATGTCCCTCAGAGTGTGTGATGCTCCCGGTGTCAGACATTCTACATGAGCTGTGTGAAGTACAGAATCATGTCAGGGTGGTGTTGTACCTGTATCTGGGTCACACTGGTGCTCACAGGGGTCCAAGAGGCGGCGGCCACACAAATCATTGACCCAGGGGCCACTGGCATTCTGCTGGTAGTACAGCAGCACCTGGGCTGGGTTCAGCCAATCAGATGCATCCAACTGGCTGCCCTGAAGCAGAACGAATCTGGAGCCTGAAAGAAAAGAATCAGAGAGGACATCTGTCAAAAGTTACATCAAGTAAATTAGTGAACTCTATTAATGAACGCTGAAATTACCACAGTAACACAAACAGCCAATTTTTGTTGGTGTTCAGAATATGAACCATAAACTGGAAGCTACAAATAGACTCTGTATGTAACTGTGGTACAGAAATGTTTAGATTTATTCACTGATTGGCTAAGAGACTGTTTCAACAGGTTTTCATCTTTTTGTGTGTTTTAAGTGAGTCACTGATTCATTTATTCAACTGATTCGTTAACCAAAACCACTCTAATTGTTCGCTATAAGATTTGTGTGTCAAATTAACAGTACTTAGAGACTCAAGAAAGAGTATTTAAGCAGCATGATTGCTTTTCCCCCACAACTGTTACGCATAAAACTGTTTTGGACTTTTAAAGCAAAGCAAAATCCTTATAGCTGAAATTCTATGCATTATACACATTTTTCAATGCTTTATACTTCATGCACAGCTGTGGATAAGATACAACAGTACAGATAAAACATCTGAACTGAAAGTGTGATGTATTCTGAATTACCCCTCTGAATATTTCAAAACCATGAACGCCAATGGAATGTATTCTGCAAAAATCAAGTTTTATCAGATCTGCTTTGACATCAAGTTTTACCCTGTAATACTGTTAGACAGTTATAGACACATCTTAAATCTGATTTTTCCAATTCAAAAGGCGAACTGTGAATCCTTCAAGTCTCCTCTTTTCAGATTTCTTCCACTTAGACATCTATGTGAATGTTAATCTACCCTAAAGCACCAGACCCAATAGAAAAGAGCTCTGCATGAAAGACAAAATGACAGATGAGCAAAGCCAGTCACAATCCATCATATCGCCCAAACTCTAGAACTGACGGCTGAAATGCCAATGAGCTGAAAGAAAGAGAGAGGAAGAGCAAGAGAAAAGAGGGTAAGAGACAGAGAGAGAGTGGCCTGTAGTCTTGGACTTCAGGTGCAACATTAAAATTCAATAACAAGCTCATTCAACACAAATGCAACTTGGGTCCAAAGCACAAACAGAGGACCCTTGGGGAAAGTGGCTAGTTGTTGTTTACAGATGGGCATACATGTGTGTGTCTGGGAGTGCAGTTCTAGGGAGTAACTAACTAAAAGTAGCACTACTAACTTAACTAAATTTTTCATAGCGTGACAACAGCTCAGTTGTTTTCAAAATAATATTGCTTTTTCCAGTCACTAACTACTTTTTTCCAACAAGGAAAGGGCGTCTGGCAGAGCGTTAGGACCCAGAAGCGGTGAAGCATGATGTCAGATGTAACAAGCAGATATTCTTAACCACTCCTATCCATCCGTGAATCTGCTATGAGCAAAAGGTGGAGTGGAGGTGCACCACAATATAGCCTCGCCCTTTATTCAATATTTCGTTTCACTTGGGTTAAGGCTAGAAGGGATACATATGGCGCTACTGGGCATGTGCAAGAAGAGTACTTTGTACTTTTACTTAAGTACTGTTTTGGCACCAGTACTTTTACTTGTAATTGAGTATTATTTCAGCAATGTAACAGTACTTGTACTTAAGTACAAATTTTCAGTACTCTTTCCACCACTGACAAGTAGCAGTGTAGCTTGACAAAATGCTACATCACAGTTTTCTCATCTCACACACACATCCAAGCAGGCTAAGGAAATAATCAATCAATAGTCTTTTCTCTCATTCAAACTCTCAGTTGAATCAGTCTGTTCGGATTCAGTGATTCATGTACTAATGGTTCAATAATGATTCATTTCAATTCGAGTCCCTGTGCAGTCACTTTTGAAGCAAAATTGTTCATTTAAACTCTAGTTTTAGTTAAAATGTTTTTATGTTTTGTTAGGTTGTTTCTAGTTTTATTTTACCTAAAAAATATGAATTGTAGGGTTAAAGGTTGCTTTTTACATCTCAGCACAGTTTGTAACACATTCTGTTTGGATAAGAAAAATTATTTAGTTTAATTCAAAAGATAGATACACTATTGTTAAAATACATTCATTTTAAAAAGACAGGTCATTTTAATTAAAAAAAGCTTCTGAAAGCTTCTTACACTGCTTAAAGGAGTTCCTATATTAATTTAATGTCGACTAACTTGACTAATAGCCCCAATAATAGAGGAAATGTTTAACATCATTAACAATGTCTCCACAATGGTTTAAAATATATTTCATTATTTTAACAATTCTTATTTGATACATACATTTATAACATAAAAAAAATTAAATATCAGATCAACTTAATGCAGAATTGACTTTGTGTTGATGATCGCAATCACTTCAATGATCAGACAAATTTCCAAGTGCATAATGAAACGCGGATGTGTAGGAAAGTGCTGCGGTGAGTTTTTGTGTCATTCTAATGGTTTAGAGAGAAATAAAACCAAATGTGCCTTTTACTCCGGTGCCCCGTTGCACCCTATAATCTAATATTTTTATATCTACAAATATATTGCCTCCTTCAATTTATTTTTTATAGTAACTTATAGTGAAAGTGGGGCTTTCATAATAACTTGACTATCATCTCAAGTTAGCTAACATGCTAAAGCTAACAGCAACACCAAATGAGTCCAAATGTTTGTCTGAAAATCTTCTGTGTCAAAATTAAAAATAAATGTTAGTCTTTCATTTGAGACTCTTAAAAAATTAATTCACTAGATGCCCAAGTACATAGTGTACAGTGCAAGTACATGGTGTATAGCCTTGTAAATGAACACAACTAGAGACTATGCATTCGCTTCTGATTGTTCTTTGATGCTTTCAGCACACATCTGTTTGGCTTTTCACTAGAGACAGAGCAAGAGTCGGCATGACATTTGCTTTAATACAGTAGAAATTGTGAGGGGTAGACGGGGGGCCGAGGACCCCCGCTGCTCAGGGGCCAGACGGGAAGCAGAGCAGGTGATGAGATTACCGTCTGCTATGAGGTGCTCTGGAACGTGGAGTATGACTCTGACGTTGAGGCTACAGGAGAGGTGAGACGCGCAGACCAGGCCGATCACACAGCTCACCACGCTGATCAAAGTCAGGGTGGTCTTGTTGATAGGGCTCCGTGGGGAACCTAGGGAGAAGAGAGAGAGAAAGCAATAAAAGAGCGATGCTACAAGACTGGAAAGTTCACAATTTTTATGCGTAACTTGGAAAAGCACAAGGGAGGCAGTTAAAAAACAGCCCACATCAGTATTGGTGGTCCATGAAAGGAGCACTGGATCAAACCAGCCAGCCAAACTCTGGGAGCAGTGGCAGCTTTGGCACAAATAGAGCAGCGGAGAGACAACGCTTTACCTTTTGAAGTCTGCTGCTTTTATGCTAAATACTTCAAATGGCAAAATATGAAAAAGAGCTGTTTTTGACCACGTTTTTGTAATATTGGTGTAGTGCTGCCCTGTACATCTGTTACATGTAAAATAAAGGCACAAGACACTGCACTATAACAACACACAAGAAGACATAAACACACCCATTCACAATGTATGAGGACACAATACTGATGATCAGATATTGTCATCTACAGTAGCTCATTAAATTAAATTAAATTAACTGTTCCCTCCTGGTGGAATGACCTGCCCAACTCAATCCGAGCAGCTGAGTCCTTAGCCATCTTCAAGAATCGGCTAAAAACACATCTCTTCCATCTTTATTTGACCCTCTCAATTAACAAAAGAAAAAAAGACCTCTTACACTAGCTTGCTCTATTCTTTTTCTATCTGTTTTCTTTCTTTTTATTTATTATATTATTTTAAAAACTCTTGCTACGTGTACTACGTTAAGCTAACTAAGACTTGTTATAGCACTTGTATATCATTGCTCTTTTGTTGATTTTAATTGCTTCCATTGTCTTCATTTGAAAGTCGCTTTGTTTAAAAGCGTCTGCTAAATGACTAAATGTAAATGTATTAACACAAGTGACGTTTAAAACTCTGTTAATAACGTCTCAGGATAAACATGGACAATAGCATGCAGCAACTGGAAACAGCAATGACATACATATGAAAGGAAATCAGATGATACATACAGTATTTGATGACAAAATCTAAATACAACTGACAAGAACATATTTAAACTGATTATATGCAGCATATGAAAAAGGAGTCACAAAGGAGTTACAAATGACATCCGTGTAGATGCTTAGCATTGCAGCATGTCAACTACAAAAGGAAGAACCCCCGTTTTGTGATATTAAAGCTTAGATGCTTAAGATATCATCATCTTAGATATGGATGTTAACTGAAACCAGAAGGTTGACTTTTGAAGAAATGAAGACACATGATCAAAAGAAAATGGAAAGCATTGATTCAAACATTTGCATGCATCTGCCAGAAATATATACAAATGCCTACAAAAGACTGTGGGCAGATCTTGAAATCTAAAAACTGTTTTATGCTTCTTATGTTATCGAGTATTCATCAGGCATGTATTGATTTATACTATAGGAAGTGGTGCTTTCGCATTTTGTCAGTTTGACTTAGGTGAAACATACTCAAGGACTAATTACAGCAAAACTATTTTAAAATTATTCATTTTAGATATGAATATAATTTGGCTTTTTGTCCCCTGGCCTCCATCCTTTCTGTAAGTATTACCAGATAGCTCCAATTTTTCAACTATGAAGAGATAAATGCCAGTATTTAGTATTTAGGTATAGGGGTTAGAAACATAAGTATGTACAGGTGCATCTCAATAAATTAGAATGTCGTGGAAAAGTTCATTTATTTCAGTAATTCAACTCAAATTGTGAAACTCGTGTATTAAATAAATTCAATGCACACAGACTGAAGTAGTTTAAGTCTTTGGTTCTTTTAATTGTGATGATTTTGGCTCACATTTAACAAAAACCAATAAAATAAAACCAATAAAAAAAACATTTTTAGTGAAATGTTGGCCTTCTGGAAAGTATGTTCATATACTGTACATGTACTCAATACTTGGCAGGGGCTCCTTTTGCTTTAATTACTGCCCCAATTCGGCGTGGCATGGAGGTGATCAGTTTGTGGCACTGCTGAGGTGGTATCTAATTTATTGAGATGCACCTGTATATGTATATATCAATATAGGACTTAAAAGTAATATTATACTTTTATTTTAAATTATTACTACTTATATTATATTATTATAATATAGAGATTTATAAGAGATTTATAAGAATATTTTCTAATAAAAATAATTGCCACAGCAATTACAGATTACTATACCTTCACTTCACTCAAATAAGACAGTTCAAATTAACACCATGTTTTTATTTTTTAACGTAAACGTATGCAAACATGTCTATCATAATCAACAAACTGCTCTCACCCAATCATAAGTTTCCCGCCGCGATCTAGGGAACAAATGCGACAAGCCATGTCTATTATTAACTTAAGTCCAATTAAAGGTGTTGTTGCTACAGCTGATTTGGAGTGTTTTTGACAAGTACATGGTTTAAGCATTTGTTAATTAGAGGGAGAAAGTATTAAAGCAAAGTGATTGTCTGTTAGTTGCCTTTCAAGTGGCAGCTCCTCAAGAGTTTAGGGAGCTTTGCATTCAGTCTGGACTCTTCAGAACACAATGCAGCGCTCCTCAGGGGACAATACAAGAGTTTTAGACAGACTCTAGCCATTAGTGTCTGACAGTACTGTCCAGCCGGTTTGTCACGCACTCTCTTAGCACTTAACATACACACATTTACCGTGCTTAATGCTGAATAGTGGTCTACAGACGAAGCTGCTAAGCTTAAGGTGCTTAAATACTTGTAAGCTTGCATTTAGTCATCATTCATTTCAGAGAAGGTCCATGGAGTCTACAAAGAGGCTCTGAAGAATTCTCTTAGCAAACTCAAAAATTGCTCAGGGACCCTCAGTCCAATTTGGAGGACAGTAAAAAAAAAAAGTTAAGCATTTATGCTTTCCTGTAAATTGTTTTAACACAGTGTTCAACTGCAATGGCAAATCTCACACGTAACGACATGCCTCAATCGGTGAGATAGTTGTAAGGCAAGCCGCTTCACAACTAACACTTTGCTCGGTTTCTGAACAAAGTGTGGTAAAAAAAAAAAAAAAGATAAAAAAAGTTAAGCATTTATGCTTTCCTGTAAGCTGTTTTAACACAGTGTTCAACTGCAATGGCAAATCTCACACGTAACGACATGCCTCAATCGGTGAGATAGTTGTAAGGCAAGCCGCTTCACAACTAACACTTTGCTCGGTTTCTGAACAAAGTGTGACATGAACACCAAATGGCCACAATCAGGTGGTGCAGGTTGAAACCATGCGATGGTGTGGAAGTCCTCCTTACCCCCGGAGCCCCACACGGTGTTGACGTTACCGTTTCTCATACCTCGACTGCGACGGCGGCTGCGGTTTGGGTCGGTGTAGAAGGTCAGCTGCGGCTCACTGTCCGCCTCTGTCCCAGAGTCCCCGTCCGGGTTCAGGAAAGTTGAACCCGCTGTAGAATTCACACAAAAACCATCCATCAACTAATTAATCAAACCAAACCGAAAATGTGTAAAGTTGTGCAAATGTGCCCAGTGTAAAGTTTTTAGACAAACCTTCAAGTTATTCTGCATGTAAAATAACCTTAAACAATGTAGACCGAAATTATGCAGATCCCAAAAAGAAAAACCATCAACATTAATTATTGACTGACTATACAATTAAATATTAGACTATTTCAAAGTCAGTTTAAAAGACATAAAAGACATACAAGAATATTTCCAAACACAATGTCATTCTGAGGTTTTGAAATTAAACAAATGTGACAGCATGACAATTGATTTGTGTGTGTGTGTGTGTGTAATTGTCAATCCCTTTGTTTACTTATCTAGAATTATTGATTAATACAGCAAGTAATTATAAAGAGCTACAAACCACAAACAACAGATTCATTAGAAATATCAAACTGGAAAGCAATTTGATTCTTATAATGAGGGAAAATCTTACAGATAATGCAGCAAAACCACAGCAAAAATGTGTGCTATTTAAGTTAGAATTGTTAAGGCACTATACACTATTGTTCAAAATTGAAAATTTGGGGGACAGTAAGAAGTTTTTTTTTTTTTCAAAAAAGTCACTTATGCTTACCAAAAATGTTATATTTATTTATTAATTGTATTATTATTATTATTATTTTGGATTAAAAACACACTTTTAAAAATCCTTGCTAAATAAAATTAGTACTTTCTTGAAAGAAAAAAAAAATCAACCAAATTTTGAACAGTAGTGCATGTAAAGAAATGTTAGATATCAATCAAAATGTGTTTATATACAAAAATGTGAATGAAATGATGCAATGAATGACATACAATGATAATTCAAAATACAACAGGGGAAAATATTTACATATTATAAATATAATACTGTTTTGACACAAAACGCTTATACTATAATAAGGTTTACAAAGCACTAAAATAAAAGATATATAAAACACATTAGAAACTGTATAATTGCAAACATACATCTCACATAGCACACACCAATGTGACATACAGAGAATAAGCCACAGTAATTGTCATTCTGCGAGATGCGCTTCTCCTCTCAGAAGAGTATTGGGTAAATATAAGTAATGAACAGGAGGTAAGGAGTGTGACTGAGATAAGAGATGCATGCTTCCTTGGGCTCTTTTCTTGCCGTACACAAAAGACACAATTTACGCATCAGAGCTAAACAAACGCTTTCATTATGCAGCGCGTGAGGAAGAGATGCATGAGCGCACTGACCCGTGGATTAGACCGACTCGCGATGATGAGAAATTATGTTTGAGTTACTCCGTATTCACACAACAGTGTGGCTATCCATTAAAAACATCTTCTCTGGTGCAGAAGAGAATCAAACAATTATCATTTATAGATGAGCCATCTGTATGGAATGAACCAAACGATGCTTTTTTTTTTTACAATATCATTTCATACCGCCATAAACAACGCATGAAATATTCAAAGCTGTGATGCAAACAAGACACAGGCGGGTCACAAGAACAGCAGAAGTTGTTTGGCCCTACAATGAAATCACAAGTCTTAAAAGAGCACGGCTCTGAAAGTAATTATTATTATTTTAGCACATCACCGCATTACAGTGATATTGAATAACAAATCAAATTATTCATAAATGAAAGTGTAAAGATGGATGAAAAAAGTAACAAAAACTATGTGAAAAACTTCTACGCTGTCAAAATGATTTTACAGTAAACATTTTGGAAAGATTCACTAGGAATGACTAATTATGGGGTTTATTTGTATGCGCTGTCTGCATTGTTTCTGCAACCCTATTTAGAAAAAGAATTATGAAAATAAGGTAACATTATGCTTATATAATTGAATTTTTTTTTTTAATGGATAACTGTTACCATGACCAAAATAAGAGACGTGTTTGCACTAAAGGAACATACACTGGTGGTCACCAAGAGATAAAAAATACAGTAAAAACAACAATATTGTTAAATATTATTACAGTCTAAAATAACTGTTTTCTATTTTAACATATTTTAAAATTTTATTTATTCCTATGATGGCAAAGCTGAATTTTCAGCATTATTACTCCAGTCTTCAGTCACATGATCCTCCAGAAATCATTCTAATATGCTGATTTACTGCTACAGTAACATTCTTATTAATGTTGAAAATAATGTATTAATGCTGTCTTAATGTTGAAAACAGTTGTAATACCTTTTTTAAGATTCTTTGATTAATATAAAGTTCAAAAGAACCACATTTATTTGAAATAGAAATCTTTTAACATTATAAATCTCTTTACTATCACTTTTGACCAATTTAATGCCGCTTTGCTGAATAAAAATCTTTCTTTCTTTCTTTCTTGTGAAATCTCTTTTTTGTTTGTTTATTTTTTACTATCTTTTTTTTACCCCAAAACTTTTAAATACTAGAATTGCACTGTTTCCACAAGAATCTAAAGCAACACAACTGTTTTCAATCTTCATTATTCCGAAATTTGACTGCCAAATGTACATATATTTATATTTAAATGCATTTAGTGCCTGGTTAAACTGAAAGCTGGATTAATAGACCGCAGGCTTTTGTGCTTAAATACCATGCAACAGTTTAGTGAATTTGACCCTTTTGTTTCAAAATGCCTTAAGAGCACAACAGTAAAAATGTCTCAGCTTGATTATATAATGAAAATCTAACAAAAAGCTGATGAAACACCTGGCATTTAAGACTTCAAACGCTAACAACCATTTCGAAATGATACACGCTGGCACGCCAATGCCTCTTTTTGTCTTCGTAACAAATGAGAACAAAAGAAGCACCTTCAAAGGAATTAGCCGTAAACCTCACAGAGCAGGTGAGGATTGTGCGCTAACCTCCACAATTAGGCAGGGGCCAAAGGTGCAAAGCTCCATGGAGGGGAATAAAAGATGAGCTTGTTTAAATATTCAGCACGGAGCACCAACAGCTTCTCGGCATGCAGTACAGGTGCACATGCCTCCTACAACAAAAAAGTTATTTTGTACAGCCAATCAGGGTGGTAGAACTCAATCATTTGCAAGGTCTCGGAATCACAGTGTCACCAGAATGATCTCAAAACGAGGAAAGGTGAAGTACGAACACCTATGCTGATACCGTTGACCTAAAGAAACGTCAAATGCCGAGAGCAACAGTTTTAATTTGTCTAATGAAAAATGAGGGGTATAAATAGATGAGGTGACAGAGGCAGGTGTGACTGAGGAGAAAGAAAAAAAAAAAGAAGTACTTGAGAGAATCTGTGCACTCACACACATTCTCCTCCGGCGACGTGAACGGGTGTCTAAACATAGCCTTTAGCAGCTTTCGTGTTCGCAGATTGCTCTGAGAGCTCACTCATGAACAGTGATACAAGGTTCATTAGAGAAAAGACAGACAAGAGGAACCTTCTCAAAGGGAACAGACATTTTTTCATAAATCAGAGAAATAGTAAAAAAAAATTAAAATAAATACAAACAGGGCAATATCAGTATGAATATGAAAAGCTATGGAAATCTGGAGTTGCTATTTTGGAGTTGTCAGAAAGAGCTTTAAGAGGCCAGTAACCCAAAGTCAGACTCAAACCCTTATAGAAACAAAATCATGCATGGTGGATTTAGTGGGTTGGCAATACACAATCCGCCTACATAAATAACGATTATTTAGAAGATTATTTCTTGGCACTGTTAAAAGAAATCAGCAGTTCTCAGATAACAATACTGTAACTATTACTTAAAGAGCAACTATACACAGACGCAGACAGTATGCTTTTGTGTTGTGTTGACAGATATGCCATTCTTGATTTTTGAAGGAAATTAATATTTTTAATCATCAAGGATGCATTAAATTGATAAACAGTGAGAGTAGAGACATTTATAATGTTACAAAAGTTTCTAGCTCAAATAAATGTTGTTCTTTTGAACATTCTATTCATTGAAGAATCCTGAAAAAAGGCATCACAGTTTCTACAAAAATATTGGTAACACTTTATTTTAAGGACCCAATTTTAGCTATTAATTAGTTGCTTATTAGCATGCATTTTACTAGCATATTGGCTGTTTATTAGTACTTATAAAGCACATATTAATGCCTTATTCTGCATGACCGTATTTTAGATCCCTTATTCCACCCTATACCTAAACTTAACAACTACCTTATTAATTATTAATAAGCAGCAAATTAGGAGTTTGTTCAGGGAAAACTCTTAGTTAATAGTGAATATGTGTTCCCTATTCTAAAGTGTTACCAAAAATGTATATCCCCTATCCTTATGCTCCACGCCACTGCTCCTGTCAACAGCAGGGATTCTTTTGTAATTTTGTCTAGCTCAACCAGACAGAGAAAGGTGGGCAGATTTAGGTGGGCAGACAGGTGGGCAGATTTAGTGTAAATAGCCCCTGCCAACATGGCGTCAATAGACATTCTGTGTAATGAACAGATCATTTGTCACATTTGTGTAATATAAATAAAAATAGTTGTGATTTGTCTGCAGCTAAAAAATCTAACTAATTCAAACTATTTTTTTCCTGTGATAACATAACTGAATACTCACAGAGCTTTTCTGCAGTTGATCACAGCTGGTATCAGTCTTCTTCAAACCCTTATAGAAACAAAATCATGCATGGTGGATTTAGTGGGTTGGCAATACACAATCCGCCTACATAAATAACGATTATTTAGAAGATTATTTCTTGGCACTGTTAAAAGAAATCAGCAGTTCTCAGATAACAATACTGTAACTATTACTTAAAGAGCAACTATACACAGACGCAGACAGTATGCTTTTGTGTTGTGTTGACAGATATGCCATTCTTGATTTTTGAAGGAAATTAATATTTTTAATCATCAAGGATGCATTAAATTGATAAACAGTGAGAGTAGAGACATTTATAATGTTACAAAAGTTTCTAGCTCAAATAAATGTTGTTCTTTTGAACATTCTATTCATTGAAGAATCCTGAAAAAAGGCATCACAGTTTCTACAAAAATATTGGTAACACTTTATTTTAAGGACCCAATTTTAGCTATTAATTAGTTGCTTATTAGCATGCATTTTACTAGCATATTGGCTGTTTATTAGTACTTATAAAGCACATATTAATGCCTTATTCTGCATGACCGTATTTTAGATCCCTTATTCCACCCTATACCTAAACTTAACAACTACCTTATTAATTATTAATAAGCAGCAAATTAGGAGTTTGTTCAGGGAAAACTCTTAGTTAATAGTGAATATGTGTTCCCTGTTCTAAAGTGTTACCAAAATAGGATATACAAACTACAAATATATATATTTTTTAAAATGAGCACCAAATCAGCATGTTAGAATGATTTTCTGAAAATTAAGCTTTGCCATTACAGGAATAAATTACATTTTAAAATATATATAAATAGAAAATTAAATTATTTTAAATTGTAATAATATTGCACAATATTTCAGCATTTTTGGTCAAATAAATGCAGCCTGGGTGAGCATAAAATGTACTGTGCCATGAGTACTTTATTATGTAGGCTGTGAAAGTGTCCTATAATGAGAGAGAAAAATCTGAGATAAAGTGAGTAGCATTCGACTGATCGCGTGATCTCACACACTCTAAGACTAACGGCTTTTATTAGATAGGACTGAAGTCTTCATGGGAGTGCAAATTTTAAAACAAAAATGTTTCTATTCATTTCTGTAAAGCTTTTTAATGAGGCAAGAATTCCTGAGTGCACCTTTACATTTTTATATTCATATGTAGTGAATGCTCAATCCAAGTGCATTTGGGTATTAAAAAAGGCTGGTCTGAAGGTCAGAGAGAGGCCGTATACATCTGCTGGACTGAGGTAATGAAGCATTAAAGCATGAGCAGAGAGTCAAATATTTGCCCAGCTAGGAAATCAGATTCTTACTCAAGGAAAACACTTCACTGGACATCTGCTAATAGTGCTCAAAGTAAATCTAAGAGAAAGGAATTTGTCTTTTATAGTAGATATCTATAGGCATGTTTCCCTAAAAACCACCACCAACAACCAATATCAAAAGCACACCACAAAAGCATATGAACACCTCATCAAATCATAGTTTCTGGTGGCCTGATCAAACCAGCAATGGGATAGCAAAGAGAGTGGAAGACAAATATTTGTGTGTGGTTATGATTACAGAGATAGACGTGGTTGGAATGAGATCTGTGTGGATGGAAGGGGATATTCAGCGGGGGTGTAATGGCTCAGATTTCTCACGGTTCGGTCTTTATTATGGTTCGGTGGTCACAGTTTCTGTGCAGTTCGATTAATGCCAATAAAAAGAAAAATGAATTTAAAAAAATTAAATTAATACTTTTGTTCAGCAAGAATGCATTAAATTGCAAAAGTGACAGTACAGACATTTATGTTACAAAAAAAAAAATCTATTTCAAATAAATGCTGCGTGCTGTGTTAGCTTTGTATTCATCAAAGATTCCTGAAAAATGATCACAGTTTTCACAAAAAAATATAAGCAGCACAACTGTTTTAACTGTTTTATTTCTAAATGTTTCTTGAGCACCAAATCAGCATATTAGAATGATTTCTGAAGGATCATGTGACACTGAAGACTGGAGTAATGACTGCTGAAAAATCAGCTTTGTCTTCATTGGAATCAAGTACTTTTTAAAATGTATTAAAATAGAATATAGTTATTTTCAATTGTGATACTATATCACAATATAACAGAATTTGGTTTATTGGTGCATTTTGATTGTTTTTACTGTATTTTTACAAAAATGGTAGTGTAATTGCAGTAAAGATTGCTGCAATTATGTGTAATATAAGTGACTTGAATAGTATATAGGCTAAGCTAGCAGGCTAATCAGCTAGTTTAGTACACTAAAATTAAAGACATGACATAAAACAACAAAACAACAATATACCGAACCGTGGATGGCAAACCGGTTACAGGAACAGTTTCACCCCTGATATCCAGACTCACCATGCGTTTTGCTGGACAGACGCTTGCGCTGGTTGGTGGAGGTGTTGTGTGGGAGGAGCGTGTTTTGCTGGTGGTTGCTGTTGACAGGACTGGTAGCTATGATGTTATCCTTGTACTTGCTCATTAGGGACAGCTTTGTACTATCGTTCCCTGATGGAAAAAGGTTACAATTAGGGATGAAGAGAGGCAGACAGATGAGTGCCAAATAACAGTCTACCAAGGGCATGTGGAGACACTTTATGTAAATGCGTGTCATTCAGAAGGACAACACTAAGTGGTCTATGTGAAGTATTTTCAGGGTTATGTTACAGTGAAGCAACTAAGAGCCTTCACAGCCCAGCGATTCAGGATATGACATTCCGTCATTCACCATTATGCAATATCGCCATCCCCTGTAGTTTGTATGCCCCTTCATAATGAGTAAATTGCACAACAAAGACAACTGGCACTGCAGGGTTTTTATTGTATTAGGCAAATTACTGTGACAGAATTAAATCTCTCCTCTCCTGCAAAGCTTTTTCGGGGTATTTTTTAATGGGCTACTCTTCAAGGCAAAAATCAGCATCCTTTCACATCTGATAAGGGGCAGCCATTCCAAATTCTGTATGTCCAATATACACAGCCAATCTGGCACAGACTCAGGTCTGGTCATGTGACTTGCCTATATTCTTGACTATAGCAGAGTTTAAATGGGTGCCATGAGTGCCGTGAACCCACGCCAAATAAGCAGTTTTGCTTAGCAGGAATATATAGCATTATTACTTTGATATTATTCTGGGAAAAATCTATTCTATATCTTCTATTTCTGAAGGGTTTTTATTTTTTTTGTAGCTATTATTTTATATTATTAATATTTAAATTAAATGTAGAAAGAACTTCAACATTCTTTGATAATGTGCATTCACTTATGCATTCAAGGCCTGGTTGCCAAGTTGTTTATATATCTCTGAAATTAGGCACTAAATCAAAACACTGAATTAGAAGTGTGAATTAATTTAGTGAATGATTAAAGCATGCTATTAAAATTATTAAGGTTACTGTCTGAGGTTTTTTTGACAATTTTATAGCCCAAATATTGTTGGGCATGTTAAAAGGGTATGTCGCTCAAAAAATAAAATTATATAATTTACTCCCTCTCATGTCATTCCAAAGTTGTATGACTTTCTTACTTCCATACAACATAAAAGGAGGCACTTTGCTGGTCTTTGCTGGTTGCTCTTTTACATGCAATTACAACAAATGGACAATGAAGCATGTACATTTAGAGGATGTAAAAGCACCATAAGAATTATTATGAAAGTGGTTTATATGACTTGTGTGATATATTCCAAGTCTTCTGAAGGCATAGCTTTGTGTGAGAAAAAGCTTGAAACATAATTTTCAATGATGTAATTAAAAATCATGACATCCAACCTCTCTTTGGCACATCCATGAGATATTTTCAATGAATCAGTTGATCCAGTTTACTAAGCCATGAATGCTTGTGTGAATGATTTGTTAAAGCATATAAAGACTACCTAATGAATTCATTTTTTTTAAACTAGTGCAGTCAAACGATTAATCGCGATTAATCACATCCAAAATAAAAGTTTTTTTTACATAATATATGTGTGTACTGTGTAAATTTATTATGTATATATAAATACACACACATGCATGTGTATATTTAAGAAAAATATGTTATGTTTATATATTAAATATATTTATATATGATATAATTTATATGAATATAAATGTATACACGTAAATACATGTAAATATTTTCAAAATATATGCTGTATGTGTGTGTCTTTATATATACATAATAAATATACACAGTATATGCACTAGATGGACATCTTTGACCATTGCGCCTCGCAGCTTTTTGTCGCGCTTCTCCATTCATCAGGGCTGCGACTCTGCAGTTGGATACTATTATGCGCGTCTCGTGTTTATAAGAGCAAAACATTCTGATTGGCTAATAATGTTAGTTTGGTTGAGAGTGAAAGCTGTGCTCCTCTCATACCACTGGTAGGTGAACTCATGGACTCGAAAGTGATATCAACAAGTTTTTTTTAAATGTAGGGTTATTTTTTTTCCGCAGCCAAATGCTGCACGCCGGAGATGCCGGAGAACTTTAAGCCCTGTTTTATTCAGCAAGAGACAGTAAAGACATGCATAATGTTACAAAAGATTTCTATTTCAAATAAGTGCTGTTCTTTTGAACTTTCTATTCATCAAAGAATTCTAAAAAAGCATAGAATGACTTCTGAAGGATCATGTGACGCTGAAGACTGGAGCAACAGCTGCTGAAAATCCAGCTTTTCCTTTACAGAAATAAATATAATAATTAAAATAATAATTAATATTATTATACAATTCTTATACAAATATAATATATTTATATATATTATATTTATATGTTTTCTATACTAAAATAGAAATTATTTATTTTAAATTATAATAATATTTTACAATATTACTGCTTTTACTGTATTTTTGACCAAATAAAGACTTGGTGAGCAGAAGAGACTTCTTTCAAAAATATTAAAAAAAATAAAAATAATAAATCCTACCAACCCCAAACTTTCGAACTTAGATGTGCCATCTAAGAAATGGTCACTCAGTGAATCTGAATAAATCACTGGTGAAGATTTAAAAGACTCGATTTACTGGGATGAATCAAAATCCACTACTTAACAGCTTCATTCAATGAAATTGAATTGAAAACAACGGCCTGTGCACATTCACAGATTTGGAACAACATTAGGGTGAGTAAATACATTTTAGTTTAGTTTAGTTTAGTTTAGTTTAATGAACTATCCATTTGAGTTTTTCAAAGATCTTTACATTCATGCAGTGCAGTGTGCTGTGGGCTCACATACCTGGAGTGAGATCCATGCCAGCTTTGTCATTGCACCCTTGAAGTGAGTCGAGCGTACGTGTCACCTGACTGGTGAAGTCCTCACCGCCATTCATGCACTCCCGCTGCAGGTGGTGGCGTAGGTCTGTAATGTCATACTCGTACCCATCCAAGATCGGAGTCTCACGGATGCTGAGGGTGCCACTCAAATTGTGACCCTGCCCGCGTGAATTTCTCAAACTTTCCCGGGCCTGTCCACCCATCAGCACAGAGGGGATGTAGTGAATCTCATTGGCTGCTTCAGCACTAGCGCTCTTTTGTGGCTGAGGCACACGGCGACGTTTACACCAGCGTCTACGAGTGTACAGGATCAACACCAAGCACAGGATGGACAACAGAAGAGCAATCATACCACCCTACAGAGACAGAGAAAATAGGAGGGAGGATGGAAAATTTAGAGGCAAATTTATAGAGAGAATAATAAGATACTCCACTGCAATTCAAGAGAAACCAGAGGACTGAAGAACCAGATTGAAGAAGAACATTGTGCATTTGCCCAGATTACTCCATCCACAAATAAATACTACTCAAATTATTCCCTCCAAAATCATATATGAGGATTCATAATGTGTGTCAATCTGATTCAGGTATAGAGTGCTGCAGGGCTGATGAATTTTTTTAGGCTAAAACCCAGAAATGAGTTCACATTTTCGCACTTCCAATTCCATCGTCCTGTAGTCCATGGGTTTTTTGAATAGTTAAATGCCTGGTTGTTAGGTCTCTCTTTCTTGTTTTATTCTATGACATTAAATACATCAATAATACCCCTTTTTGTTTTTTAAAGCTTTTACTTGAAAAAGGCAGCTGCTAACAAGTGGCTAAATGGTACTACAGAGGTTGTCAGTGTCAATAAACATCATCACACTGAACAGGTAAACTCATCTACTCACTAGTCCACTTTTACAGCCTCATTGTGTTTATAATCATGTTCTTTAAAACTATTCTAACTCAAACTTTTAGGGAAATTTATTTAAAAAAATTTTGGAAGCATAGTGATTGTGACAATGAAGTCATGCAACCGTGGTGCAGTGGTGTAAAGTATTTGAGAAAATGTATTTAGTTACTGTACTTAAGCATCTTTTTGGCTACTTTGTAGTTTTACTGAGTATATATATTTCCAAAATATATTAGCAACATTTACTCTCTACTTGACTACATTTTTGAATAAGTATATAAAGTACGCTTTACTCCACTACATTTGTGATGACTAATGAAATTACTCGTTACATTTCACATGGCACCTAACTTTCTCTACAGCAGTTTATTTCTGCTACTAAAGAAGCAATATCACCATCTACAGGACGTCTTGCCCTTACTCACCTAAACTTGTCAACAAGGCTACTTTACTCAAAGTAGCAGGTATGTGACTCGCAGGTTTTTCATATATGAGATGAGGACATGGCTGAGACCTTTTTGAAGGATATTGGTTTTCTTTATTTTGTAGGCTTATGTTGGTTTATTGAGCCTATATTCAGTACGAGTAAAATACTTAAGTACTGTTAAAATCAGATACTCTAAGACTTTTACTCCAGTTGTATTGGAATTGGTGGCTTGTAACTTGTAATGCAATCATTTTTGTTGTAATGTATCTGTACTTTTACTCAAGTATGGTTTTCAGGTACTCTTTACACCTCTGCCGTTGAATAATTTATTTATAGCCTAACTATTGTTCCTTTCAGTCGGGTCACTCTCTACGTCACGTCGGATGACTGACGAATTGGGATCTCGCTGGGAGAGACCAATCTACTTCGAGTGTAACTAAACGAGCCAATGCACACTGGCATGCAATTATTGCATCCAGCTGCCGCTGATCACAGCGCGAGTATAAGTAGGCAGCTGGTGCAGCGCATATTCAGCTTTTCGCTTCGGAGCCGAGCGATTGTTTTGTTCTGCTCCTGACTACTGCTTCAGAGAAACTCAACGAGTTCAGCACACTCTAGGAAGCTCTGGTGCTGGCGGTACGGTGCTTCAGCGGCGGTGGTTCTTCCCGTGTCGAGTGGGTAGCACACATCAGGCTGCACTATCCCCTGTTTGTGTTGCAGGCGGCCATCTCCCCTGTGCACTTCAGCACACTAAAAGAGCAAATTCTAAAAGAGCATTCACGGGTGGACGTCTTTTTAAAGATGCCTTTCCACCCGTGCATTTCTGGATGCTGCCTCACATGTCTGGGCATTAAACACGCTGAGGTGGCGTTCGCGGATGAGTCATGTTCCCATTGTGGGAATCTAGGCCGTTTTCAGCAGCCTAGATCTAGGGCTCCCCGTGACGTCCACTTCTGGCAGTAGCCGGACTGGTCTTACGGTGACGGTGAGGAATTCCCCTCCGAGGGCTCCTCCTTCCACCAGCACTTCGCAGCCAGTGGAGCCACCGAAAGAACAGGCTGGACCCTCTTGTGGGGTACCACTTGTATCCTTTGGTGCTCCTCCCGACGATCGGATGTCGTTCGCTGCATCGGAGGGTGAGCCAGACCTTTCTGGAGATGATGATCCGGCAGCGCTGCCACCTTCTGGGCGGCCAGCAATGCCGGATATGGATACGGAAATGGTGCTATGCTTGACCGGGCCGCCGAGAGGATTGGGCTTGAGTGAAAACCTCCACCGCGTCCGGAACCCTCGAGGCTGGATGTTTCTCGGGGTGGCTCGCGCTGGTTCTCAGGGCCCCATCCCAGTGCCTTTCTTCCCAGAGGTGCATGATGAGCTCACTGGGTCGTGGACGGCACCTTTCACTGCCAGAAACCGCCCCAGTGGCTCGTCCTCCCTCACCACCCTCGACGGTGGGGCAGCGCGGGGGTATACGGAGATCCTGCCGGTGGAGCGGTCGGTTGCGATGCAATTGTGTCCAAATACTGCT